GAGGATAATCAATCTTATGTTCAAACATTTGTCTTGTACATTTGAACCAAGTTTGTCTACAATTATTTTGCAATTATGAAATAAAGTGTGAGGATGGGTATAACCCAAATCCGCTATTATGACATTATATTTTTCTTTTACTTTTTGTTTTTTTTGAGGTCCAATCCTTCGTTGGTTGGATCTGACCATTATTGATGGAGTATGTACAACATGATCCAATTCTTAAGTTGTAACATTATAAAATATTTTGACAATAAAAAATGTGTATTATTACGTATTATAATTGTTTGATTCTTTAATAAAAAAAATTATAGTTTGATGATAATTAATTAATCATAATATGTCACATCAAATAAATTTTTTATTTTGTATAAATATATCTATCATTTTGTTCACATTTATTCAGAAAATTCAACTATATAATATATCTATCATTTTGTTCACATTTATTCAGAAAATTCAACTATATATTCTTTAAAATATGCTAGATAGGGCTATCTTCATTTATTCCATGCCAGTAAAAAACAAGCACATGAGAGCAAATGTGGGATGTCCCAGCTTCAATCAATCAATGTATTGGTTGATTAGTAACACTGGCTCTATTAGTACTGGGAATTGACAACTCAATTTTCAAGCAATCGGAAAAAGTAATAAATGTATTTTAAATGAGTAAAATTGTAATTGGGCCAAGCACATTGTACTCATATGATACTTCTGTAGCTTCCCTTGAGAGAAGGTTACAGGATCGAACTCCGGTGGTGGAGTATTGACACTTTGGACGACAGTGGTTAGAGGAAATATAGAACATATACTACTTTGTAATAGAGTTAATAGTATTAAAAAAAAAAAAAAAAAACATCATCATGTGAAGACAAAGCCTTAAATAAAGAAATGAAAATTATCTCACTTTTTTTTTTTTTTTTTTTTTTTGTTAATTGGAGCAGTTATAAAAAAGAACATATATAATAATAATGTCCTTAACTTTTATGCATGGTACCAATCAGAATAATTGTTGTTACAATTATAATCATTAAATTATAGAGAAAATGGCATTTTTTTCTCCTGAGTTATATGTTTATAGCATTTTTTTTCTTGAGTTATTCATGTACCCACATTTACCCCATCAATTATGTTAAAAGTGACGATTTTTCATCTTTTTATGTTAAATGGACATTTTTACTATTAAAAATAAATATTTCATCTATTTTTCTTTTGCAACAAATATTGCTTGTATGTATGCATGGATGATTACGGTTTGGTTCGAACCTAATCCGACACTGTAGCAACCGAATCAAAACAATAGGGACGGATCTAGTTACGATTCAGAACCGGAAGAAATAAAATAAAATAAAATAATTATTGAATTTAGACTATTTTAAAAATAAGAAATTGAATTTATAAAAATAAATAAATAAATTTTGAACTGGCGGTTCAAACCAAAATTTATTTATTTATTTTTGTAAATTCTATTTCTTATTTTTAAAATAGTCTAAATTCACCAATTATTTTATTTTAGTTTTTTTTTTTTTCAGATCTGAATCGTAACCATACCGTCCCTACTGTTTTGATTCGGTTGCTACAGTGTCCGGTTTGGTTCTAACCAAACTGTAGTCATCCATACATACCAGCAATATTTGTTGAAAAAGGCCCGCATGGGTAGCTCAACTGGTTATAGAAGTGAAACTTTGGAAGAATGACCAGGGATCGAGTCTCACCAACAGCAGTGTGGGAGCAACCTCTGCTCTGTCGGACTGGGGTGTAGGGGGCCCTTAGGGTTGGGGTTCAGCCTTTTGGACGAAAAGCAACCTCTGCTCTGTCGGACTGGGGTGTAGGGGGCCCTTAGGGTTGGGGTTCAATCTTTTGGACGAAAAGCAACCTCTGCTCTGTCGGACTGGGGTGTAGGGGGCCCTTAGGGTTGGGGTTCAGCCTTTTGGACGAAAAGCAACCTCTGCTCTGTCGGACTGGGGTGTAGGGGGCCCTTAGGGTTGGGGTTCAGCCTTTTGGACGAAAATTTGTTGAAAAAGAAAAATAGGTGATGTATTTATTTTTAAGAGTAAAAATGTCCATCTAACATAAAAGGGAAAACCACAACTTTTATTAACATAATAAAAGAGATAAATGCGCTAAACACCTTGTGCTCAGATGACATATAATGACCTCTCTCATGTAAGAGGTCATGAGATTGAATCTCAATGAAAGCGTTATTGACTCTTTGTGTTTCATTAGAGTTGAGAAAATATGTTTAAACACATATTACAATGTAATAGAATCAATAACATTTAAAAACATATATAGACAAACGTGGGTACATAGGAGAGGAGAAAAATGTCATTTTCCCTAAATTATATGTATGGAGTTTTCACGGGATCATTAGTATGACCTAATAATTAATCTTGTCTCTAACCTCCTGCATGCGTGTCTCACATTGTAGTCTTGTGTCAAATGTCAATGTGGAGAAGTATTCAATTTGCATTTGGTCTCGCGTTGTAAATGAATGAGTAATTCAACATATACTATCATTTTATATTCTGACTAGTTTTTCTCGCGTACTGCGCCATATGTTTATTTCTAAATAAGTATTTCAAAGCATATCAAGATTATATGTGAGATATTCATGCAAAGGTAATTGAATATTGAATTAGTTTATTTAAATTGGTAATTCAAAATATATAAATGTAAGATAATATATGAGAGGTTGATTATAATTGCCACTAAAATAAATATTTATAACTTTGTAAAAACGTTAATCTAAATACTTAGTCTAAAAATAATAATCTAAATAAATATTACTTTTGATTTGAATTTCTCTAAGTCTTATTCATTCTCTAGCATTGTCATTATTTTCATCTTCAGTACTTGTCCTCTTTTTTTTTTATTAGTAGTGTGTCATGTGCAATTGGATATTGGTGCAGTGGTAGCATAGAAGACATCGTCGTGCAATGAGATTATGGTGTAGGAAACTGTGGATTAGCCTTGTTGTTTATGAACTCTTAATATTATAAGCGCTTATTGATATTTGGCAGTGATAGTCTTTCCCCCTACATGTTTCATGTGTGTCGTAGATTCTCATGTGAAAGTATTATACAAAATATTAATATTTATTATATTTTTAGAAGGTTCATGAGTAGTAACTCTTATTCTAGTTCCCTAACTTGTTATAGTAACAATAATGACTCTGCAGGTAGTCTGAATACTGATGGCAAACTTCGAACACAAAGTTCTTTTCCTTATTACGCAGGTGCCGACACACGAGAGCTCAAGCTTGAATCAAGCCTTTTCGATCTCTTCTAGTTGGAATATTTTACAAGTTTCAAAAGAGCTCTTGTATATAAGGGGGGGCAAATCTTCTTTTCAAACCAATGTGGGACAAAGTCCACTATTTCCTTTCATTTCCCAACTCAAATGGGTCTACTTTGAGAATCAATATCTCATTCACCAATTATCCGTTTTAAGCGTACAATATATCAATCTCTTCGTCTTACTACGAAGAATCGGAAGTAGACCCCACTGATTATCAATTTTTTTTTTTTTTGAAAGGGACAAGAATTTACAAGTGATAAAATTAAAAAGGTACGGATAGCCTAATAAGCCAACTTCGACGCACATTGAAGGATAACTGTAGAGTGTAGACATGTAGATGTGACCAAAAAAAACATGCACAAAGAACTAAAAAAACAAAAAAAAAACAAAAAACAAAAAAAACAAAAAACAAAAAAAAAAACAAAAAACAAAAAACAAAAAACAAAACAAAAGAAAGTCATTTGGATGAGTGTATTGGTACAAAGTTATTTCTGCCAGTCAATTGTCAATCCTGCACATCGGATTATTCTATTTCTGCGGTTATAAACGTAGGCAGTATGCAACTTTGATTTGCCGACCATGCCAATCATATTTTTATAACAATAAACAATTATATATTTTTTAAAATATTCAGAATTCTTTACAAGGTAATATGCTCAAAGAATCTAAGTCTCCACAATTAGAGTTCAAACCTATGACCATTCATTTGAAATGGTAACCGGAATACCATCACATTACATTATAGTTGATAATAAACAATTGTACTTATTATAAAAGATACAAACAACTATTTGATAAGTAGTAAAGTGAGTTTTACTACATGGATTCTCAAATCATACTCCTTAAATTTACTCATGACAGATACTGATCAGGGGCGGACCCAGTGTGGGGGCTGCTGCCCCCACTCACCCCACCCCCACCCCATATATAACCCTTGTATGTATATATGTATGTATATATAGTACAAGTTTTAGTATAAATAAAATAAAATAGCTAATGTTAACATAATAGGAGGTAGCCTAGTTGGCTGAGCAGGCGTGTTTCCGTGTGAAAGGTCGTGGGTTCAATTGTATTTAATCACACGAATGCTTCTATATCACAAGATATGTAATTTATAATGTGTTTTCAATTATTTTATCAAATTAATTATGTTTTATATTTTGTTATATATATATATATATATATATATATGTTTTTATTTTGAGCTCATATTTAACAATATTTATGGCAAACTTCATATGTAATTTATAATGTATTTTCTAGTCATAATAAGATGTGTAACTTATAATGTGTTTTCTATTAAAATTATTTTATCAAATTAATTATGTTTCATATTTTGTTATAATATTTTTTTATTTTGTGCACATATCTAATAATATTTATGGCTAACTTCTTAACTGTTTCATATTTTTTTAAGCTATTCTTTTTGTTTTAATGTTTCGCCCCCACTGAACAAATTTTCTGGATCGCCACTGATACTGATAAGTTACTTTTTTTATTTTTTTTTATTTTTTATGCGTCCTTACTTCCTAGTAAAAGTTGAGAGTAAAAAATCAGAGTATTTTTCTAGTAAAATGAATGTTCGACGACAAGCATAAAATCCATTGTTTGATGGTAACAGATAAAAGATAGTTACGAGAAGACCATAGAGATAAATTATTAATTTGAAATATAATAAATTAATACTGCGTATGTAATGTTTGTGCACTTGTATAGCCAACGGCGGTGTCGTCTTTATATGGCATTTGAACAAAGAGAAAGACATTATTGTCTCTCATAAAATTGAGCTCTCAAGTTAACCATTTCAACAGAGCAGAGAACAATGGCTTCTACACAACATTCTTTACGTGGTGAGTTTTTCTTCAACGCATTTTTGCATTCTATAGTTAAGTTTGGAGGGTTTTGGGAGTGTTTATAAGTTAAGTTATGAACTTTTCTGAATGATTATCATTTACCGCAGCAAAGTTGGCTGTCTATTTGGAATTTAAAGTTTACGCGGTTATAGTTTGATGAAATTGTACATTTATGAGTTGCAAAGTTATTGGATTGTTGTTTTCAAAATAAAAAATAAAAAAATTATTGGATTGTTAATCGATAATGCTGCTTCATGTTTGTGTTAATGACTCTATGAGTGATGTGACTAATGAATGGTGTTTTGTAATTCTAGTGTTTGGCTACCTATAACCTATTGGTACTGCAGGGGCAATTCCTTGGATTTGTGGAGGAGATCTTGATTGGGGTTCTTTGTGCATTCACAGAGCTTTGGTAGATGCCTTAAGTCTATTCTTGGCCTTTCTTTTCTTTCTGCTCTTGCTTGTAGGTTCTGTAATGAGGATTGACATTAGAGGATCAAGGAGGTCCTGGATCACCTTACTGATATCACTTTGTTGTGCTCTTACAAGCATTGGGTATCTCGGTGCTAGTCTTTGGGAACTCGTCACGAAAAACACTAGTTCTAGTGATCTAAGCTGGTTGCCATACTTCATAAAAGTAGTAATTTGGATTAGCTTCACCCTATCCCTGCTTGTTCAAGGATCCAAAATTGTCAAAGTTGTCATGTCTTGTTGGTGGGTTGTTTTCTTTCTGATGATTTCTTCTCTGAATATTGAAGTTTTGATTACAACACACAGCATCCAAATTTTGGATGTAATCTCCTGGATAATTACCTTCTTGCTTCTCTTTTGTGCTATTAGAGACTTCCATCTCTCTCTTTCTCCAGAAAAGAGTTTGTCAGAACCTCTGTTAGTAGAGCAATCTGATGAGAGCAAAACCCTTATAAGCCATGCCAGTTTCTTTAGCCAATTGTCGTTTTCTTGGATGAACCATTTACTTCGGTTAGGCAAGTCAAAAACATTACTTCTTGAAGATATTCCTTGCCTAGGAATGGAAGATGAAGCGGAGTTAAATTATGAGAAACTATCTCGTGAATGGGACATACTCCAAACAGATAATCGATGCAACGGTTCAGCAAACTTGATTCTTAGGGCTATAGCAAGATTATTTTGGAAAGAAATGGTGCTTGGGGGAGTCTATTTACTTCTTAGGTCAACTGCTGTTATAGTTGCTCCACTCCTGCTATATGCCTTTGTAGCATATTCTAATCTTGAAAGTAAAGAACTTTCTAAAGGTGTTTTTCTAGTGGGGTGCTTGGTTGTTGACAAGGTTGTTGACTCTTTGTCAAATCGGCATTTCTTTTTCTACACCAAGAGGGTTGGTATGAGAATTAGATCAGCCCTAATGGTGGCGGTTTATCAGAAACAGCTAAAGCTTTCCAACCAAGGCAGGCAAAGACATTCAACTGGAGAGGTTGTGAATTATATTGCAATTGATGCATATCGAATGGGGGAATCTGCAATGTGGTTTCACCTTGGATGGGTTTCTGGACTGCAAATTCTGATGTCTATTTCTGTCCTTTTTTGGGTGGTTGGTCTTGGTGCCCTTCTTGGTTTAGTCCCTCTCGCTATTTGTGGGTTGCTTAACGTACCATTCGCAAAAGTACTTCAGAAGTGCCAGTTTGAATTTATGATTGCCCAAGACAAGCGACTAAGGTGCATGTCTGAGATCCTGAATAGTATGAAGATCATTAAGTTACAATCATGGGAAAAAAACTTCAAACATGTCATTGAATCTTATAGAGAGATTGAATTCAAATGGCTAACAAAAACTCAATATTGCAAAACATTGAATACTTTGTTGTACTGGATGTCTCCAACAATCATCTCCTCTGTTATATTTTTAGGATGCGTCCTGCTTAACAGTGCTGCATTTGATGCTGCTACAATTTTCACAGTCTTGGCAGCATTAAGGGGCATGTCAGAACCTGTAAGACTGATACCGGAAGCTCTTTCTTTTGTAATTCAGATTAAAGTTTCCCTTGATAGGATCAATTCTTTCCTACTAGAAGATGAGATCAAACAAGTGGACGTAATACAATCTCCAACTGATGGTTCAGATATTAGTGTTCGTGTAGTGAATGGCTGCTTCAGTTGGGAATTGGAGTCTCCCGAACCAGTACTTAGAAACTTAAATGTGCAAGTGAGAAGGGGTCAGAAAATTGCAGTCTGTGGACCAGTAGGAGCTGGAAAGTCATCACTTTTATATGCTATACTTGGAGAAGTACCTAAAGTTTCAGGAACAGTGAGTTATACATTAAACTATATTCTTTTGGTGTTTCAAAAATTTTGGGCATTCCATTGAATTTTTTTTTTTTTATTGATTGCAATTGTATCCAGGTAAATGTGTTTGGCTCCATTGCTTATGTCTCTCAAGCTTCCTGGATTCAAAGTGGGAGAATTCGCGATAATATACTCTTTGGGAAGTCAATGGACAAAAACAGATATGACGAGGCAATAAGAGTATCTGCTCTAGACAAAGATATCAATAGTTTTGACTATGGTGACTTGACAGAGATAGGTCAGAGAGGACTCAATATGAGTGGAGGACAGAAGCAGAGAATTCAGTTGGCTCGAGCAGTGTATAGTGATGCAGACGTCTATCTTCTTGACGACCCTTTTAGTGCAGTAGATGCACATACTGCTTCGACTCTTTTCAATGTAAGTCTATCTGGGTAAACATGAAGTCATATATGTTGATAAAGTGCACTAAGAATTTGAATGTAATTGCAGGATTGTGTTATTAGTGCATTGGCGATGAAAACTGTCATTCTTGTAACTCACCAAGTGGAATTTCTCTCCGCTGTTGACCACATTCTGGTAATGATTTCTCCTTAGGGAACACCATTCTGTAAATCTTTTAACTGATAGCTACAAATTGATGTGATATTTATATTTCTAGGTAATGGAGGGAGGTGAAATTACTCAATCAGGAAGCTACAATGAGCTATTGGTGACTGGGATGGCTTTCGAACAGCTTCTGAATGCTCATAAAAAAGCAGTAAATGCATTTGATCCCGTGATGAAAATTAATGATCATATACCTGACAAAGATTATAGCAGTGGGCTTGAAGAGGTCAGCAAGTCTTTTGTAAACGAAGAAAATAGTCAGATTTCTTTGAAGGAAGGGACTCAGTTAACGGAGGATGAGGAGATGGAGACGACTGATGCTATGTGGAAGATATTCATGGATTATGTTTCAGTCTCAAAAGGAACCGTTTACCTGATCTTAAACCTCGTGACTCAGACTGGTTTTGTGGTTTTCCAGGCTGCTGCGAGCTATTGGCTCGCACTTTCCATTCAAAGTCCCAAATTTAGTCATCTTATGATTATTGGAGTTTATACTTTGGTTTCACTGCTCAGTGCATTCTTTGTATATCTCAGATCCTTATTTGCAGCTCTCCTTGGACTCAAAGCTTCAAAAGCATTTTTCTCTGGTTTCATCAACTCGGTTTTCAAGGCTCCCATGCTTTTCTTCGACTCTACTCCAGTTGGACGGATATTAACTCGAGTAAGATAATGGCATTTCCCTATATAGGTGAATAATATATTTGGTCTTTGGACTAGTTTTCTGATAATTTTTAATATATATATATATATATATATATATATATAATTTTTTTTTTTCCTTCAGGCTTCTTCAGATCAGAGTGTATTAGACTTTGACATCCCTTTTGCCTATACTTTTGTAACGGCAGCTGGAATAGAATTGGTTGCAATAATTGTCATTATGGCCTCTGTCACATGGCAGGTTCTTATTGTAGGCATCATTGCTACAATTGGCTCAAAATATGTCCAGGTGAGATTTCTATTACTACAATTCTCTCTCTCCCTCTCCCCCCACCCACCCACAAAGCTTAAAAAAATGTTTTTTTTTTTTTTTTCCACGATTTCTTTGTTTTCCTGAAGGAATACTATCAATCCTCAGCAAGGGAACTGATGCGAATCAATGGAACAACAAAGGCTCCAATAATGAGTTATGCAACCGAGACATCACTTGGAGTTGCCACAATAAGGGCATTTGATATGGTAGACAGGTTTTTCCAAAACTATCTGAAACTAGTTGATGCAGATGCTAAAGTCGTTTTAAGCTCAAATGGAGCCTTGGAGTGGCTAGTTTTGAGGACAGAAGTACTTCAAAATCTCACCCTTTTTGTTGCCGCTTTCCTCCTAATCCTAGCTCCAACGGGTTATCTCCCTTCAGGTATTAAACCTCATGGTGTGTTTCATATATTACTGAATCAAATAACTACATTGTTACTCTTCTAAGACCGCCTTGGTTTCTCCACCCTCCTTGTTCAGGTCTTGTGGGACTATCTCTCTCGTATGCTTTTGCACTAACAGGCACTCAAGTGTTTCTAAGCCGATGGTATAGCAGCTTAGCTAACTATGTTATTTCGGCTGAAAGAATCAAACAATTTATGCATTTAACTCCTGAGCCACCAGCAGTAGTGGAAGATAATAGGCCACACTCTTCTTGGCCTTCCAAGGGTAGAATAGAACTTGTAGACCTTAAGGTATGACATTTAAACAAGTTATGATGGTTCAAAGTATTCTCAGCACAGAATTAATAGGGCAGTAACATGTTTTAATGCAGATAAGATACCGTTCCAATGCTCCATTAGTTCTCAAAGGGATAACATGCACCTTCAGTGAAGGAACGAGAGTAGGAGTTGTAGGGAGGACAGGAAGCGGCAAAACAACACTAATCAGTGCATTGTTTCGCCTGGTAGAGCCTTACAGTGGGCAAATTATTATAGATGGTATTGACATTTGCTCCATAGGCCTCAAGGATTTACGGCTAAAACTTAGCATCATCCCACAAGAGCCAGCTCTTTTCAGAGGGAGTGTTCGAACAAATTTGGACCCTTTAGGTCTTTACTCTGATGATGAGATTTGGAAGGTAAACTTATGAACCCAATCACAGAAATTGATTATGGTACATTTTCATCATTCCATGTGCTAAATGTTTTCGATTTTCAGGCTCTAGAAAAGTGCCAACTTAAGGATACAATTAGCAAACTTCCACACCAGCTAGATTCCTCAGGTGAGCCAAAGGCCTTAGGTATCTATTACCAGGATTCAAGATCTGCACACAATTTACTTGGGTTCTGTTGTAAACAGTGAGTGATGATGGTGAGAATTGGAGCATGGGGCAACGCCAGCTCTTCTGCCTTGGACGAGTCCTTCTCAAAAGGAACAAAATCCTAGTTCTGGACGAGGCAACCGCTTCAATAGACTCTGCTACAGATGCCATTCTGCAGAAAATCATCAGAGAAGAATTCTGTAATTGCACCGTGATCACCGTTGCTCATCGTGTTCCCACTGTCATAGACAGCGACATGGTCCTTGTCCTCTCTTTCGGTAGGCCTGTCACATTTCCATTCCCTCAGACAACATCAAATTACAGTACATTCCTTTCCCGGAAAAACATACTCTACCAAAAATTGCATTCATGAACTGAACATCTATTTGAAACATCATTTGCAGGGAAGGTAGTGGAGTATGATGAGCCTTCAAGGCTTATGGAAACCAATTCTTCATTCTCTAAACTAGTAGCTGAGTATTGGTCCAGCTGCACAAGGAATTCCCTGTCAGGGCTCAACCACTGAAGTCGTGTAAGTCCTTGTTAAAATATTCTTAATTTAGCAATTACCTTCCAGGTCAGCATTTAATAATTATTATTATTCAACTAAAAAATGTTTCAGGAGGGGATTGAGATGTGGTACGCTTTGAATAAATTTAATGGGACAATGGAGTTGAAATAAAATGTTTTGGCAGGAGATACTTTATAATGACTCTGTCAAAGCGGTCTAGAAGGTGACTATAAGATATAAATGAACATAATTTCCACCTTCTAGAAGCTATCAAGTTTCTACTTAACCGGGATTGAACTTACTTTGTATGAATCATTTAATTAATGTAGTATACAAGTTTATATTATACTTCATCGTATTCAAATTAATTTTAAAAAAATTTAAACTTGATCTAACTAAAGGAAATTAAAATTAAAAAGTATTTATGAATATAATGTCTTTTCTATTCAAATTATTTTATCTAATTAATTATGTTTCATACTTTGTCATAAATATTTTTATAGAGTTAATGAACGATTTGGTCCCTCAATTATTAGCGAATTGTCAAAAATATGTTGATGCCTGGAACCTTTATGGTGAAAGAAGCTGAAGCATTGTATATTCGGGAAGCTCTGAGCTGGTTGAAGGGAACAGGTATGGGAGGCGTGGATGTGGAGATGGACGGTCAAATTGTTTTTAATGCTATTAATCGCCTTCTTTTAATTCTGCCTTTGGTTTCATAGTTGATGATATTAAGAATTTAGCAGTGGAAATAGATGCTGTTAAATTCGGTTGTGTTAAGCGATCTGCGAATTGTGCCGCCCACTCTGTTGCTAGGGAGGCCTTTTATGAGTCAGGTTGCGGGGAGTGGTTAGATTCTCCTCCATCGTTCCTTGTAAACATTCTTACTCATGATTTAATGAATTAATCTTTTTTCTTCAAAAAAATTTCACATTTTCACAATTTCACCCCATTCAAGTATATTTTTACCTCTGCCCCTAACTATACTATATAGTTTATCGAAAATATTATATTGTAATATATAATGTATTTTGTATTCAAACCTTATTATAAGTGTTTGATATTTTGTCATTGACATTTCTAATATCATTTAAACTTTGCCCCCTAATATAATTTTCTAGGTCCGCCCCTACATCTGCAAAGGATCATTCAAAAAATTATGACATATTCTTTAAAAGAAAATACATTTTCTCATTTAGTTGTCTTCTACAAATTCTTTGTTGTTTGTTGTGCTTTATCATTTCCCGTTGACCATCGCCACGGGCCTTTGATTTATCCTTCAACAGCAAAGGAACCATAAAACACTTTTTGCATAAAGGTACTACCAATTACCAATTAGTTATGCTGTCCATGGTGCACACGGTTGCAAAATGACGTCATTTTGACTAAAAACGTACGTCTCATTTAAAAAAAAAAAAAAAAAATTCAGTTTCGATTCCCCTCAACAGCATTATGTTGTTCATTCATTGTGGATTTTTAGTTCATTCATTGTGGATATTTAGTTCATTCATTCTGGATACTTAGTTCATTCATTCTGGATTTAGTGTTATTCATTCACTGTGGATATATAGTTATGAATTTGTGGATATATAATTCAAATTATGCAAAAAAAAAAAAAAAAAAAAACTATTGCCGGGAATTGAACCTGATTTTTTTTTTTTTTTTTTAAGTAGAATGCGCGTTTTTAGTCAAAACGACGTCGTTTTTGCAACCGTGTGCACCATACATGGTACACACAGTTGCATAGCATAATTTGCGACCAATTACCATTTGGCATTGTCACGATCTTGGACTCCGGGGATGAGTTTAGGAAATTCAGTTTACGATTACAGTAACAAACAGATAGAGTTTACAAGATATACAATAGTTAGGAAGTTCTTATACAATAGGCCGTTGTGGTGAATAAGTCTACACCACATATAATATTAACTGTACTAATATGGAGGGTGAAGAATGTTTACTTCAATGCCTGTCTATTTTCAACTCCCTAGTCATCTTAAGTCAAATCGTGGGAATCGTCTAGCGAAACAACAAATTAAGTCAAATCTCCATTCTTCCTTAATAACAAGAATTAGAGAAGAGATTTATCTATGACAAATACGAATCGGAGTTTGAAGAAGACGCAACTATGAAGGGTCTCAGCTTCGTGGTCTTGGGTGCCCAGGTGGTTTGGCCAATAGTGGGCCAAGAAATATTGATTTCATTTTCTTAGACTAAGGCCATCCATGGGGGCTATGAATTTCAAGTGATAAATATCTTCATCGGTATCACAATTTGCCTTGAATAATCCCCACCCAATGTGTTGAATTTTGTACCCTAAGATGCACCAAATTTTTGGTCAATGTTGATTTCACAACATTTTCATTTGACTCTTCAGCCATACTATATATGTGGTTAGAGGTTAAGAAGGAGAAGAGTTTGATTATAGCCGTCAGGATGGCAATGGGTCGGGTGTGGGTCGGGGAGGGCTACATCCATTACCCGACTCATCTTATATTTTCTTCCCTCACTCCTCACTTCCACCTCCAACCCGTATCGGGTGGACTTTTTCAAAACCCACCCCACCTCCACCGGGTACAGGTACCCACCACTTATCATCTTATTATGTTTTTCAAAAAATAATATTTAAATTACTTACACATAATAAAATAATAAAATTCATTAGTGATACTAAAACTTTAAATAATAGAAATATTTAAATATAATAACTAAATTGTTAATTTTTAAAAATAAACTTAATAGTTTACATATAAAAAATAGTAAAAATATACACGAAGTTATATAAACTTCTATAAATAACTACATACTAGTACTTATTTTACTATTATATATATACACACACATGGTGGGTCGGGTGGGATTCTAGGCGGGTTTTGTACATAGAACCCGAATCCAACCCGACCCACCGCAGATTTACTTTTTTAAGACCCATCACCCAAAAAACCCGATCTATGCGGGGTGGATTCGGGTGGATATCCACGGGACGGATTGAAATTGTCATCCCTACATATGCATATCTTTTATCCTACCAAGTTCCACAATTTTTTTGTTGAAGATCTTAACTAACTTACAAACCAAAATTGTCACGTGATTTTAAATAGGAATAAGGGGGCGTTTGGTTCACGGAATCTTTGATTACCTCAGGTAATCCTATTACCTGGGGGTAAGTAATGTGAGATTTTAGGAATGTAAGATTACCTGATGTGTTTGGTTAAAGTTGTAGGAATGTAACATTAACTTGTTTGGTTGAAGGTTATATTTTAGGTTATATTACATCAATTACTTAAATGCCCTTATAGAAATTGAAAGATGTAAATTGCAAGGTTTTTTTTTTTCATAATTCAAAATTTAACAAGATGCTTCTACTACTACTACTACTACTACAAATAATAATAATAATAATAATAATAATAATAATAATAATAATAATAATAATAATTGGAAATAATAATAATAATAATAATAATAATAATAATAATAATAATGATTGAATGCGTACTGTAATGATGAAATTCAATAATAATAATAATAATAATAGAATGCATACTGTTAAAATGCAATTCAATAATAATAATAATAATAATAATAATAATAATAATAATAATAATAATAATTGAATAATGAGGTCTATGTAATGAATAAAAGAGAAATAAATGAGGGTAATTTTGGAATATTGAAAAGTAATCTCACATTACCTAACCAAAATTTGGTAATCACATTACCTCAAATATACTCTCATTTCCTATGTGGCAGTAATCTTGCATTACTTACCCTCTCAGATGACCTAAACCAAACATGGTAATCTAATATGACATTTCTCAGATTACCAAGGTAATCTCAGATACCTTGAACCAAACGCCCCCTAAGGGTCAAATAGACCATCGAATTGCACCCAATAATGCAATTAGGCCACTGAACCTAAAAAAACAACAATTAGGCCACTAAACTAACCAAATTCTTTCAATTAGTCTAATTTACAGGTTTTGCAGGTTAGTAACAGGTCACCCAAAAAATTTAAAATAATTTTTTAAAAAATTATTATTTAAAAATAATAAATTTAAATATATTTTTTTAAAAAAATGTTTCTTCGTCTTTGGTAGAGACGAAGAAACCTTTTTTTAAAATATATTTTAATTTATTATTTTTAAAAAATATTTTAAATTTTGTGGGTGACTTGTTACTAACCTGCAAAACCTGTAAATTAGACTAATTGAAATAAATTGATTAGTTTAATGGCCTAAATGTTGTTTTTTTAGGTTCAGTGGCCTAATTACATTATTGTGTGCAGTTTGATGGCATATTTGAGTCTTATTCCTTTTAAATATATGGTGGCACCACATGTGATTCAAGTTGAGAGTCAAATTTACTCCTTTGTGTCTAATTATTTTTATCAACATTTTGCCACAAAGAGCCATTGTGTTTTCAGTCTTTTGATCCCACCAACAATTGATTTCAAACTCATCCATCCCTTCCCCTCTCAACTGATTGTGTTACTACTCCTATTATCATATTTGATCACTTTTTTCTTAGCGAATATATATATTCGTAGGGTAGGGATATAAGTGCCTAACACCTTGCCAATGTCTTTACTTTCAACACAAGATTATTAAAACTAGTATGCTACTCATGCGATGCACAGGCTGAATATTAGGCAACATTATAATAATACTATTTAATCAAAAATACACAACTTAACATAAACATAGATAAAATTCATATATTACAAAATATTTTTAAATATATTTAATATCAATTTAACAAAAGACTAAACATTAATACTAAACTTTACAAATTGATAAAAACTTCATTGTAGATAACATTTGTTGTTTTAGAAGAATACTCTCCATTTTGGCCTAAAATAAAAACTTTAAAACCTTAGAGTTGATAACTCTACATAGAGCCACGTACAATTATGCATGTACAAAAACAAGTTTCTTAAAAAGTAATCCAACATTATAAAAGCTTTGATCTTGACTGTTATAATCTTATTTATTGTCATTGCACAAGATAACATTACAGGAAATTGTCTCTTTGGAACTTAAATGGCAGCCGAGGATATGATGGCGTCAATGTGAAATCTCAATTAGAGTATTTTAACCGTAGGAGCCATATAGATAAATTAATAATTAGTTATAGTGGAATTGCTACTTGGTTACATTAGTCTAATATTAATATTCTTTTTTCTTTTTTGTACAAAAGGAATATATGGGCAGTTCAATTGAGGCTGAAAATGTTCAATTAAGGCATCAAAAGGTATTTCATATTGCTTATACTAAATACTTTAATCCATAGTATGTTGCATACTTGCACTATGATGAAATTGTTTAAATAATAATTTTTCAAAATCAAAGAATGCAGGTAGACAAATACATTTGCAATAGATTTAGAAACTCTTAAACTAAAAGCATCCAAGTATTCAATAATTAGATAAACACACATTAATGCTAACAAAATATATTAAAAATGTATTCCCAAAATAGTCAGAAGCAGAAATGCAGTTCATCCAAAAAAGTTAAACACTTGAAATTCACAATTAAGAGTCCAAAGATAACACCAAAAAGACCCAACTTTCAAATCCCTTTACATTTTCTCCTTTATCAATAATGTAATGGCTTAAAAATAAGCTTCCTTCTTTTCTATTGTAAATCTCAACCAAGTTATTAGTGATGACAAAATCATCACTTGAACAACTGCCTACTGGGCTGCTAAATGATAGTCTAGAATTAGAGTGTAACCTCCTCATAGGGGTCAAATCTGATAGTAGACTGCATTAAAAAAAAAAAAAAAAAAAAAGGTATAATTAGAACTGAAATGAAAAAATACAGAAAATAGAT